ATACCTGAATTTTGATTTGAAATTAGGCCCTTATTTAGTTTAGATAAAAATTATATTTTTAGTCAATCTTGATAAAAGTTAACGAAATATATGATATAAAAATTATGGATCTCGTGAAATATGTAATTAAAATTAATGATTGACATTGATTTAAATTTTAATTAAAATTTTAAGCAAACCAATTAGGGGCTAGGTGTGTATCATGTAGTTTTATTTGGGTGTCTTAAAAATCTGAACATTTCTAGTTGAGAATTCCATTAATTCTATGGATGAAAAGGAATCGAACTAGTCGGTACTAGTCTTGTTCGAATCGATGTAGCACGTTTCAGAAATAAATTGTAAATTACAAGTTATTGTGTAAATTTGTTATTTATTTAATTTAATTAGATTTTAAAGGACAAGGAATATTTTTGAATCCAAATTTAAATTTTAGTTTTGCAGCTAGAATTACAGCTGGGCATGGTTCGATTTATGGATAAAGATTTTGACAAAAAATTTGACATAGTTTTATGTAACAGTAATAATTGGATGAAAAAGTTGACTGTATTTTAAACTGTCCAATGATGAAATGTCTAATTTATGTCAACCTTGATGTTTGTGTAGCACGACTATAATCTGAATTGTATATACTATTCTATAGTAAGTAAAAATTTATCTAAATATCCTAATAAAACTAATTATTTATCAATAATTGTCTCATAGTTTTATAGCAATATATACTTTATTATCCTTTTCAAAAAAAATAAAAATAAAAATAAATAAATAAATATTTGAAGTTTAACACATGACTTCTTTTACAAAGCATAAGTGATCAATTCGTTTCGCATAAATATGTTCAATCTCATTCAACTTCAAATAACATGATCTAATATCTAAATACTGATTGTCAAATAATGACGATGATCTTAGTCATATTGATATGTAGAGAAAACTTCAATCAAGGCAAAATTACATTTTTAACAACTGTAATTTAAAATTTCATATGGATGGACATTTTTATCACAATCACTTAATCCAAATAAAATTAGACAGCAATTTTGTATTTTGTATTATTTTATTTTATTTTTAAGAAACCACGAACCATGATTTTGGTGTAGTTCTCAGTTCAAGCTAAGGGTTGGCACAAAAAAAAAAAAAAAAGAACGACAGAACCAAACTAGAATAGGGAGTTGGTTCAATCTCCGATTCTATACCTAGAACCAAAAATAGGTTCTCTTTAGTTAATTGTTAGCTTGATGAATAATTTTTATTAAATAATATTGAATGAAGACGAAACTTGTCATTTCAATTGAATGAGGTTTTGGTGATTTGATTCTGGTTGTGAGCATTTAATTTTGGCTATATAACTTTGTAATGTGATTACATTAATAATTTGAAAATTGGAAAAAAAAAAAGTTGTAAATAATATTTTAGTATATGACAATCATATCCCTACCGTCCTACTTTTTATTATCATTGTATCTTTAATTTTTTTCCTATAAATATGAGACTTTTGTTCTCAATGAAATGCACGAGTATTTTTTTTTTTGACTTCTTTCTTTTATTTTTTTTCTTTCTAATTTATAACACGTTATCAGTATTATTCTCTTATAAGATAATAATTTTCATAAGCATAATCATTTGTCACGTCTATCAAAATTAATTTGATGATATGTGATTTTTTTTTCATGTTTATATATGCATTATTATATTATGACTCTTGACTCCCGAAATCAGCCCATGTTTGAGCCACATGCTAGGAAAAATAATGTATTATTCATGTCAAATTAATAGGAAATGTGTGATTAAAAATAAATAAAAGTTTTAAATTTACATGTAATATTATTTTATTGAAGAATGTGTCATTGAAATAATGTCAAATCACTATTAAAGAATGTATTTTAATGTGGTTCAAACAAGCCCTCGATTTGCATTGATTTTGCTGCTGCTTTTTTTTTTTTTTTTTTTTGATAACCCAGGTGTCCCAACTTAGCCGGACTAAATCCTGGACCTCTAGCCCCCGGCCCCTCAGTGACTAGTGGAGGTAAATCGCAGGTTGTGCCCTTGTTGGTTCCCAGATTCCCACATGACTTTTACTCCTTCCCCAAAGGGACCCTCCTCCATGGTTATTACATCACCAAACTGCTCCAACCCTTCCTCTGGTTATTACATCACTTGGCTGCTCCAACCAGGAATCGAACTCCCCACGCTTGGTTCCAGAGCCCTCCAATGTGATTGTTCCGCCAACTTGGATGTGCCCTGGGGGGCATTTTTTGCTGCTGCTTTATTTGTATAGGCAATGGATACGCAAATCAAGGATGTCGCAATCAATAAATTAATTATACCATTTGTATCAATAAATTAAAAGTCACCGCCATCAGTACAAGTTCAAAGGTGCCATCAATCCTTTTTTTTTTTTAATAACCCAGGTGTCCCAACTTAGCCGGACTAAATCCTGGACCTCTAGCCCTCGGCCCCTCAATGACTAGTGGAGGTAAATCGCAGGTTGTGCCCTTGTTGGTTCCCAAATGGCTTTTACTCCTTTCCCAAAGGGACCCTCCTCCATGGTTATTACATCACCAAGCTGCTCCAACCCTTCCTCTGGTTATTATATCACTTGGCTGCTCCAACCAGGAATCGAACTCCCCACACTTGGTTCCAGAGCCCCCCAATNTTTTTTTCAAAATATATTTTTCTCTCACTTCTTTTTAACCACACATTATTTATTAAAATAATATTACAGGTAAATAAAAAAAAATTTCCTTATTTTTCAACCATACATTTCTCATCAATTTACTATTCAAAAATGTATTTTTACATAAAAATATCTTCCAAACACCCCCTTACTGAGTATAGTTCAGAGTGTTTTGCAAAAGTTAGTTATATACTAGGGTGTCTAGTTCCACGCCAGAATCTTCATAAAAGCATTGAAGATCCATCTATGGGTCAACAATTGACTAGTAGCTTTTCTCAATCTTCCACCTCCGACGGTGGCACCAAAATAAATTTTTTTACCAAAATTTGATGTAAAAGCACAATAATGTATACTAAAGTTTGCACTATTTTGGTTTAAATTGGTGCAAAATGAATAGTATTGCACCATATTTGATGCAAATGGTGTAAAGTTATATTTGTCATTTTTCCCATTTGCCAAAAGTGATTGATGAAGGGTATTTGAGTTATATATTTTTTAACACAATAATTTTCATTATAATTATAATTGTAATTTTAAAAAGGAGCATTTTTAAGAATGTCTAATTTTAAGGGTATGAGTTGAAAAGTGTCAACACATTTGAATTTAGTGACAACTTGTCTATTATATCTTTAATGAAAAGATACATTTTGAAATGATATTTTCGATATTTTAAATGTCGTTCTCGACATTTGAATACCGTTTCGTTTTGAACATGACATTTCTCTACATTTAAAAAGGTCGTTCTTGACATTTTTGACTCAATGAAAAACATAGCATTTATTGTGATTTGACATGTATACTTTTTGAAATAAATATGACAGGCTACATGTAAAAATTTTATTGGCCAATAACAATATTGCAAAAATGTTCATTTTTTTGTCTCAGTGTGGAATTATAAATTGTTAATAAGGATATTTTGGTATAAATTCTTCCAAATTAGACATTTTTGCAATGGTGGACATTTTTGCAAATGACTAGGTAAAAATGGACATTTTGTGAAATTTTCTCTTATAAAAAAATAAAATAATTATTATTATTTACATTTAAAATAAATTTTAAATTTAAGAAATAATAATTAAGAAATATTATTATTTGTATTTTGTAGTGTTTCTACTTATTGTACTATGAATTTAATATTTTTGTTAATTTAACATAATTATTTATTTAGTAATTTTTGTATTTGTAAAATAAATAAATAAATAATTTTTCAAAGAAATAAATTATTTAGACCAAAAAAAGAAGAAAATAATTAAATACTGTTCATTTTGTGTAAGTTTTGGTGTAATGATTGAAGATGATTTGTAGTTTGGTGCGAAATTTGGTGAGGGGTTGATAATTGCCAACCCATAGAATCGGAGAAGCCGATCTCAAGTAAGCCTGTTAGCAATTAGAAAGGCCAATTGATCGATTTTTTATTTGTTTTTCAAGTGGTTTTTAAGCATTATTTGAACCAGATCTCCTTTTTTTTTTTTTTTTTTTTTTTTTTTTCAATCGACGGGCTTGATTTTCATAATACTGCTATTACGTAAAAATTTCTGAGTGTAAAATGAAAAATTCGTACTTAGCTTTCAAGGCATTATGTGACACATGTTTGGCCCCTATTATTTTAAAATTTATTTTATTTAAACTCATTTTTAACTACACTTTTCATAATAAAATATTTTGCACGTAAATTTAAATTTTATTTTTATACTTTTTAACCACACATTTTTAAAAAATTCACTATTATAAAATTTATTTTCCAAAAATAAGGGGTATAAAATGGGGACAAAATGTCATTAGCACTGTTAAATAATTAAGCCTCTGTTCGCAATCATTATTTGGGGAAAATAATATTTTGATCAGTGATTTTTAAGATAATATGTGGTTAAAATTTTTTGAATTTACGTGTAAAATATTGTGTTGTATCAATGTGTGGCCAAAAAAAATAAGTAAGTAGAAAAATAAATTTTCATTAATAATGAGTGTCAAACAGGGCTTAAAGTCTGGATGAAGATTGTAATTTGCCCCCCAGGGCACATCCGAGTTGGTGGAACAATCACTTCGCAGGGACGTTGGAAGCAAGGGTGGGGAGTTCGATTCCTGGAGTTAACACTGGGAGCCATATGGAGAGGAAGCCATTGGTGTGAACAAACACCCAGTGAGGAGAGCTCTCTTTGCGGAAGGAGTCCAAATGAGTTGTGGGAACCTGGGAGCCAACAAGGGCACATCCTGCGATTTACCTCCCTGAGCTGCTGAGGGGCCGGAGGTTCAGGGACAAGGATCTAGTCGGACGCAAGCCCGGACACCTTGTAAAAAAAAAAAAAAAAGATTGTAATTTGAACATAAGGTCAGAATAGCATAGTACATCGATGCAGAAGACAATAGATATCGTGAGAGAGAAAAGATAGCATATGTGCCTTTTCATTGTTCCTACTGTCGTGTTGTGTCTATTGGTCCGAATGTTGGAAGCATGGAGGCAAAAAGCAAAGGCCAAGAATGGCGGCACAATAATTTCCAAAATCAACCTTAACCTTGGTTAAAACCCATAAATTTCTCTCACACATACGCCCTACTCTGAAAAAAAAACCTAAGAATTGAGACACAAGTCTTATAAAAGTTGACCTTAAAGGGATATGGAAAACGGTGTTAAAGTCGGCGGCGGCCGTTGTTCAGTGGTTGCAAAAAATTTACAGCCTTTTAACCTTTTTTCTCCTTCTGACACCCGTAGCACCGCCTTCAGATCCACAGGTAATTCCTTTCCTCTATTTTTGCTGAGTGTGTATAGCAAAATGTGATTTTGCTTTTTGGTCTGAGCGCAGGTGAGAATGGGATGGCTGCAAGCGGTGGGTTTCCTTTTACATCTGCTCAAAGAAAGGAGCTTGATAGACAAGCTATGATTTATAAGTACATGATGGCCTCTGTTCCTGTACCTGCTGATCTTCTCTTTCCTACAGCTTCAAACCCTTCAATTTCCTGTAAATTGGCTCTTGGATGATTTGTTCTTTTACAATTGACATGAATTGGGTTTTTCAGATCTTGAAAACAGATTTTTCTTGATTTTGGTGTTTGATTGCAGTGACTGGTGGAGATCCTCATCTTGAAAGGTGCAAAAGAACAGATGGCAAGAAATGGAGGTGCTCGAGAGATGTGGTGCCCCATCACAAGTACTGTGAGCGCCACTTGCAGAAAAGCCGTCCCCGTTCAAGAAAGCCTGTGGAACTCAAAAACAATGGCAATAATAAGAAAAGCCCTCTTTTTTATAATCCTAAAACTGTTATGAGTACTATTTCTTCATCCTCTAGTCTGAAATCTGAGAGGTTGGTTTTTGTCTAATTGCACTTGTTTGTGTTGAATTATTGATTTGTTTTCCTGTTTGCTTGTTTACTGACTTTGGATAACGATTGAAGGGGTACGGCGTTGATGGAACGTGGGATGGATGCAGGGCAACAATGGCAGCATTTGGTGGACGCAAGCGTTGGATTTGGGGATGAGGGCTCGATTTATAGTTCTATTGCCTCTGTTTTTCATCGAGATTATGTACAACAGCAGCCATTGAATATGTTTTCTTACGCAAATTTTCCAGCTTCCGAAGATGTTTTTAAGTGCAGTAGTGGTGGAGAATCCAACGTTGGAGCATTTTTTAATCCTGATTTGGTGTTTTCGGACAAACAGCCGCAGAATGAGACCTCAAGAGGTTATATTGATGCCTGGTCTAATGATTATTTCAACAACAATGAGAATGGCAATTTTGAATCCTCTGCACAAGGGAACCTCTCGGCTTGTTCACTCGATCTATCAATGGCTGTAGCTGCTGGAAACGTCTTGGATGAAGAAATGAGAAAGAATCAAGTGGACTGTGGTGTTGATGACTCTGATGGCCATTCAAGATTGTTAAGCCCTGTTTCTTGGACGCGTTTTGCTCAGGGTGGACCGCTTGCTGAGGCTTTACGACCTGGATCTGTTGCTGGAGGTGGAGGAGGAGGAGGAGGAGGAGGAGGCTCAAATCCAGCTTCTCCCTATGATTCAATAAGCACCCCAGCAACTAATGTTTCGTCCCCATCTGGTGTTCTTCACTGGTCATTGTTTTCGCAGTCTGATATCAGTGTTTGCAATAGCCCGACAACTCTTGCAGCTGCTCCAACAGCTACACTGGAAGGTTTTGCATTCCAGCATCTCAATTAGGCTGATAAGAAGAGAAGCCAACAAAATTTCTTGATTTTGGGCATTTTTATCTTTTCAATGATCTATTATTGCTTTTTTTACTTGGTTTGAGAAGTCGATTGCTCAGATGAATTTAGATATCAGAATCGAATGAATGCATAGTGTAAAGGAGTTGTTTACTGTTTTAAATTAATTAAATTTAGGTTACTTGGGAATGATCTCCAGACTTTAATAATCCCTTCTTCAGTACCGTACTGAGTGCACTAAGAATATAGGAAGAATAAGTCACTTTGCCAAATGTTTTTGCCCACCTACTTGACATATGCAATGGCGGCAGCAAATGATTGGATGAAAAAACAGACTGTTTTTTAGACAGCCTAATCTAATGATAGAATGTCATGTGGTATTTTGTCAAGGAAGATGGCAAAAAACTCTGGCAATATAGCATGATGATTCAAGAATATATTCTATTTATGTTGGCTTGATTTCAAGACCAGACAACGAACAAAGATCTCATATGTCCCTATGCATCATAGTAATCTTTGTCTTTGTTGTTTTCCCATTAAAAAAAATGACCATGCGCACAAATGAATCCTCGTATAATAGGGTCAAGCGATCACAATAGGTAAAGTTTGTTAGATGACGAAACATTAGACCTGCAAGTGAGTTCGTAAGCAAGCGCGTAGATACGTAGGCTTGTCTAATTCCCATTTGCTAGTAATATCACCAGTGGATAGTGCTAAAAATAGATCAAATTAATGCACAGATTTGGCTTGATAGGCTTAGAGTGTTGACTTATCTCAGATATTTTAACTGAATGCTCAATACAAACCAAGGTGATACCAATGGGATGATTCTGTACTGCCACAGAAGAAGTGCTGGTTTCAACTTCCATCACCTTTTGTGAAGGGTCCACCAATACAAAGGGGACTGACAGCTATCCCAACAACGCTAAAAAGGGTTAGAAAGCCAGTTATAACTTTGTATTTACCATTTTAAGTTAAATTTTCTTTAAATAATAAGGCATTGTAAAATTGAGAATACTGGAGGCAATAAATGAGTGTAACATGTTATAAAAAAGAACCACATTCAATTGTCACCCAGTTGATTCCCAATACTCCATAAATCATTTGTGCCATTGTCACACAACAGATATCTAGGAAAAGGAGACAATAGAGAAGTCCATAACAATTGACTCGGCATAGAAAAATTGTGATTTTGTGATCAAGTTTTTTAACTCAAAGTTAGAAGCATGGACCAGCATTAGTACATCTAGGCACTGCTCAAGTTCAACAAGATTTAAAGCATAATTATCTGACTTTACAAGCTAAAACGACAACCATAAATATCCCTTCTAGGTGACAAAGACCAAGCTGGGATGCAACCAAGAAAAACTAAAATTTTAAATGTAAATGACACAAAGTACATTAAAAGGAACCATGTACTAATATTAACGTGAGAGAAGTGGCTTGAAATAAGTAAATAATGCAAACTTTGAGTTGACTTCGTTTGCGGTCGAACTGGGAATCCTGTGGTTCAGACCATAGTTATGTACAATAAATAATTCTGCCACATCTCTTTCCAAACGCACATTAGCTGCCACTGCAGAGAAACCAAACATTAGTTTGCTAATCATTAGCTGATTCAAGTCTAACATGTCTCCAAGTAAATAAATATAGTAATGAATTACTCAACCTTGGAAAGAAGGTTGAATTAACAGGTACAATTGCTGTTACGAAAGGCAGCACTCTATTCCTCAACCTTGGAAAGAAGAACGAACTAACAGGTGCAATTTTAGTTTCGAAAGAATCTCACAGGATCATATCCCAACATTGTTCCAGCCAAACTCGGAGCAGTCCTTGTCCATTTGAATGTCATTTGAGAATCCCAGAAACTTTTGAATGCTGACGGCACATTCTATTCTACCAATAATCATGTAACACACCAGAGTAACTGTACGAATCTGATTCACATTGACGCATGCTGCTGCAGAAAAGCAGATGGACGTTTTTGTTTGGCAAATTGACCAATTTCGATAAGATAATAAAACTTCAAATTACACTGGAGATGAAGAGAGCAAAAAGTCTGTTTGTAATCTTTGTAGAAGTATCCCACAAAAAGGACAGTCAGGCAGCGATGATCCTTTAAAGGAAGAAGGTCTGAAAAAGGATTCAAAATCTGAAAGATTTCCAGGCATAGTGAATAGATCTCGAGGAGCCAACATTCAAGCCCATTGTTGACAACAGACGCAAAACCATGAGGGGGAAGTGGGGAAACAATGCACTGGTTTATGGCCATGGCCAACCCAATTAAATTTTCAAATTAAACAAGTTGATAATGAAAAAATATAGTTTCTTCTTAGCCATGATTCTTACAGAGAATGATAAACTTTAAGATACAAATGCAAACATAGTATAACAATTATCAACTTTGTTCATTCTAGATCAAATATTTACTGACTTGTCATGAGTTTGTAGGTAGTATTTATAAGGAAAAGCGGCGTCCTGTTGGTAGTAACAGCCCCAGATTACTAAACAATAGACAGAAAATTAAAGAACACGGAAGATTTTTCGCCTTTAGGCCCGAATGTTCATCTAAAAAGGGCTAATCAACACGTTGAGCATCCAGCAATGTGGTTATCGATCCAATCCACCAAAAAACCAGCAAAGAATATCACTACAAAGATTACAACTCAAAGAATCCTACAGATCTTGCCCTCAGACCAGATTTCCTCTCTAAAATTACCCTTAAAAGATTACACCAAGTAACCAATAGTTAATGCTCGACAAGAACAGAATTTGCCTCTCATATATGTAACCTGTACTAGATTTCACCAAGAACATCCAGAATAAAATGATTAAAGTAAAAAACTAGAGGTTTCCTTTTGAGAGAAAAGCATAAATGAAAGAGATGAGAAAACTTTAGAACTTTCACGTCTATATAGAAATTGAAGGGTCATAAGAATATATACAATCGCAATGCATCCAACGGTTACTTCAGCACCATGCGGTATCATCCAAGCCATTCATTAAGAAACGCATTTTAGTAAAACACAAAATTGCCCAACTGTTAGTAACCGGGTCACATTCATTCAAGTGGGCTGAAAATTGGGCTGCATCATTAGGTTGCAAGATGTTAAGCACCAAACTGAGCAATCTCCATCTTGCTTGACATGTTGGGTTTCATTGTTGATTAGAGGTTAACTCTTTCTTTGATATCATTCACTTGATATCCCTGCAAAAGAATTTAAGTAGCAAAAAACATTTAAGAGATTTAAACAATCCCTAAATTAATGTAAAGGAAGTATTTTGGTTCTCATATCTGCTTAATTACACTAAGTTGAGATCTTTTTAATTCTTACGATTTCTTTTTCTATTATATCTTTTTATAAAATGGAATTTAACATCTATGTTTTTGGTTGTATCATGAAAGACAGGATTTCTACTAAGATGTATTGCAGATTGGTTGTTTGAATATATGATAGCATTGTAACCAGTGAAACCAAGTTCATCTAACAGGTTTTTCACCCATTTACCTTCCTTCATAACATCTATGGCTGTAATATATTCAGCCTCTGTTGATGACAAGGCAACAATCTTTTGTAGCTGTGATTTCTAACTTATGCAGGTATCATTTAAAATAAAAACATATGCAGATGTAGACTTGCTATTATCATAGGTACCAGAAAAGTTAGAATCTACAAAGCCTTTTAGTTTAGTTCCAGTTTCGCCTTTTTGAAACACTAATCCCAAATTCGATGTTTCTTTTAAGTATCTTAATAACCATTTCATGGCTTCCCAATGGTACTTACCAGGATTACTCATATACCTACTTAAGACACTTGTAACAAAGGTAATGTCAGGTCTGGTACAGACCATAACGTACATGATTGAACTAACTGCATTTGCATGAGGAACTTTATCCATTCTTTCTTTTTCTACCTCAGTTTTAGGGCATTGGATTATAGAAAATTTAAAAAGACTACCCAAAGGTAAAGTGACTTCCTTTGCTCTATTCATGACAAATATGCCTAATATTTTTAAAATGTATGATTGTTGTGTAAGAAGGAGACTACTATTAGCTCTACGTCTTTTAATTTTCATTCCTAAGATCTTCTTAGCAAATCCTAAATCTTTCATTTCAAATTCTTGTTTTATTTTTGCTTAATATCATTTATTTCAATAATGTCACACCCAGCCAGTAATATATCATCAACATAAAGCAAAAGATAGTATGAATTAGGAACTCTATTACCTTTATAATAGAAACATGGATCATATTCACTTCTATTGAAATTAAGGCCTTTGATAAAAGCATTAAACCTGATGTACACTTCCAAGAGGCTTGTTTCAAGCCATAAAATGATTTTTGTAAAAGTCACACAGAGTTTTCTTTTCCTTTTCCTTTTTGTTCAAACATTTTGGTTGAGTCATATAAATTTTTTTTTCCATCTAGATTTCCATGCAAAAAATCAGTTTTCACATCTAATTGTTCTAATTCAAAATCAAATTGAGAAACTTGAGAGAGTAAAATTCTAATAAATGTTTATTTAACCATATGTGAGAAAATCTCATTATAATCAATCACTTCTCTCTAGCTAAACCCCTTAGCGACTAACTTGGTCTTGAACCTTACATTTTCTCCTTTCGAATCATCTTCTTTTATTTTATAAATCCATTTGCAGTCAATGACCCTTTCTCCTTTTAGTTTATTCACTAAGACCCAAGTCTCATTCTTGTCTAGTGAAAGCATTTCATCTTTCATAGCTGCCAGCCAGAATTTTGCATTCTTTCCTTTAATGGCCTCTTCATAAGAATTTGGATCATTATCAGAAAGAGTCTGAACACTAAGTGTAGTAATAAAATCTGATTCATTATATCTAAATGGTGGTCTTATCCATCTTATTTCTTTATCTCTAGCTAGATGGTAGTCACCCAAAGGGTTTGCTAGCTGATCAGTTTTAGGTTCATTGGCAGGCTCAAATTCTGGTTCCAAGACAGTTTCTTGTTCTTAGGTAGGCTACACCTCAGTTTGGTCCGTATTTAAATCAGCTTGAAGAGGTTCAACTAATATAAAAGATCTATAGAGGTCATTTTCATAGATGGGAGTCTTTTATGTAGGGCATGTCCTCTTCGTCGAAAATAAGTCTTTTATGCAGGGCATGTCCTCTTAGTTGAAAAATAACATCCCTACTTATTATGACATATATACCTCATTG